TATAAGAACATGGGTTATAGGAAAAATAGTAATAATTCAAACTAGCCTCAGTAAGCATGTTATCTTGTAAAACGTTCATAAAACATAATCATCAAATCCTGCTTTTCATGTATGCATTTATACTATCAAAACATGCATTTTTAGAAGGGGTCCACTCACAGTACTTTGCCTTCGAAAAGCCACGCCATCTAGCGAAGAAGGAAACGCCACAGATAATCGCCCCTAAGCACATAAACGGTACATTTAGTCAAACTCTACTCAAACGATTGAATTTGGGAAAACGGACATCGGAAACGGGTTCAGAACGTCGAAATTAGCCTCGAAGGGGTCCCACACGAAAACCCAAAAAGTCAACGTTGACCGGTCAAAGTCAAAGTCAACGGGTCACGGGTCACGGGTCAACGGGTCACGGGTTTGGGCTTTAGGGTTTTGGGTTAGGGTAATTGGGTTTAGGTTTTAGGTGGGTTGGGTTTGGGTTAAAAGGAAAATGGGTTTGGGTTTGAAACCTCATGGCCCAAAGGCCTAATTAAAAAAAAGGGTAATGGGTTTGGGCTTGGCAGGAAAGGCCCAAAGGCCTTGGGTGTTCGCCGGATTCCAAGGAGGGAGAAGGTCGGACTTCGGCCGGAGATTTCCCAAGCTCCGTTGGAGCTCAAAACTCAACCAAAACATGTCATTCAATATACCAAATTGAAGCCCCGAAGGTAAGGAATCGAAATATACCCTTGGTTCCCGTCATCGTGGTTGGAGTTGGCCGGAAAACAGCCTGGAAGCCACGGGTGTCCGCCGGAACTGGGTAAGATTCAAATGAGCATAACTTCTTCAATACTCAATTAAATTGGGTGAAACAAAAAGGAAAGTTGTAGTACTCAGCGAGACGAAGAGATTGATACCTTGCACGCCGGCCAACTCGCCGTGGTTTGGCCGGAAATTGCCTCGAAAGGGGCGGTGCTCGCCGGAAAACTGGGAAATGCCTCCGAGGGGGTTTCTTCATGGTTTGACGTCCAAAACACAACCATGGGGTTAGAAAAGAGTTATAGGTGCGGGCATGGGTGTGTGTGTGTGTGTTCTACTCGGAGAAAAGAGCACCGAGAGGAGGGGGGAAAGAGAGAGCACGGAGGAAGAAAGAGAGAAGAGAGGAGAAGACTTTTCAGAAAAAAAAAGAAAAGAAAAGGGAAAGGGAAGGAACCGGGGGACAAAAACAGGGGGTGGGCCCCTTGGGCTCACCAATTAAGGTTCAAAAACAATTTTAAAAAGGAAGGTATCCCCCAAACTTAGTGAAAATACAAAAATACCTATTTTCTTACGTAAATTCCGGGACGGGTTCTTACAGGTTGGATCCCAGAAATACATTGTAACCACTAGTGGAACGTCTATCAAAGGGACAGTCAGCCCAGTCTGCATCTGAGAAGGCTTTGAGATTAGTTGCACCTTTTTTGAACCATAGTCCTTCAGACACAGTACTCTTGAGAACACGAAGAACTCATTTTGCAGCTTGCATGTGTTGGTCTCAAGAAGCATGCATAAACTGACAGATTTGATTCACAGCAAAAGAAATATCTGGACGCGTCCATGTCAAATATTGTAAACCACTTATAATGGATCGATACTCAGTTGGATTGGACAAAAGAGGACCAATGTGATCCAATTTATTAGAGCCAAAGGGAGTGCAGCAAGGCTTTGCACCATCCATATTAGTTTTCCTGAGAAGATCCAGTAAATACTTGGTTTGATGAAGAAAGAGACTTATGGAGGATCGTTGAACCTCTAATCCCAAAAAGTAGTGTAATGGATCCAAATCCTTGACTGGAAAAATAACACTGAGTTTTTGAATGAATAGATTGCATAGGGAAGAGTCAGGTCCAGTGACTAATATGTCACCTATATACACAAGCACCATGACAAGAGTAGTACTGTTGAGAACAAATAAGGAAGCATCTGAGGAAGATTGCTTAAAACCAAGCTGAAGAAGAGCTTGAAAAAGTTTGTCAAACCAAGCTTGAGGTGCTTGTTTGAGACCATAAAGGGATTTCCTTAATTTGCAAACATGATGTGGCATACTGAGATCAGTGAAACCTGGAAGCTGCTACATGTACACATCTTCCTTTAAATCACCATGAAGAAAGGCATTACTTATGCCTAATTGATTTAAAAACCAATTGAACTGCACATCAAGTGACAAAATGACTCTAATCGTGACTGATTTAGCCATAGGACTGAAGGTATCTTGAAAATCAATGCCTTCCTACTGATGATACCCCTTTGCAACCAAACGAGCTTTAAATCTCTCGACGGTACCATCAGGTTTCTTCTTTATTCTGAAAACGCACTTGTAGCCAACAACATTGTGGGAGGAAGATGGATGAACAAGGGTCCAAGTTCCTGTTGATTATAATGCTTTGAACTCATCTTGCATGGCAGATCTCCAGTGAGTATGTTTAGATGCTTGCAAATATGTATTTGGAATAAAGTCAATATCAGATGGAAGTGATGTTGGGTAGCTACATATACTTTGGGCTTGAAGATACCAGCTTTGGAGCGAGTGATCATAGGATGAGTATTGGTAGAGGCAATGAGATAATTGGTGTATTGGAAGAGAGTGATGCATCATGTGGAGATTCTGTATGGGATACATCATTTGTAGGAATGGGACCTTGAGAATTGCTAATGTGTGAACTTGAAAGAGAACAATTAGAGTTGGATCTCAAATCTAGAACTAAAGAGCTAGAAGGAACACTAGTGCTATTAGAAACGGAGAATTGCATATCCATGAGAGCTGAAACAGATTTTGAAAGGATAACATGACTGGTGGGAGAGACTGAAAGTGATATGTTGCTTCATCAAACTGCACATGTCTGAAATATAGATACGACTTGTGATTGGGTCAAGGCATCGATAATCCTTGTGTTGTAAACTATACCCCAGAAAAACACAGCTTTTACTTTTAGCATCCAACTTAGAATGAGTATAAGGTTTGAGCCACAGGAAGCATCTACAGCCAAAGACTTTAAGTTGGGAGTAATCTGGTGGCTTGAAAAATAGCAATTCCCAAAGAGATTTAAAAAGTCCAGAGATGGGTAATCTATTAATAAGATATACAACCGTGGAGAAAGCTTCCACCCAATAGAGATGGGGAATATTAGAAGCAACAAGTAATGTTCTGGCAGTTTCCACAATGTGTATGTGCTTTCTTTCAGCACAGCCATTTTGTTCAAGGGTGTGAGGACAAGTTAATTGATGAACAATACCATGAGCATGAAGAAAAGACTGAAACATAGCACCAATGAATTCACCCCCGGAATCTGAATGCACAACCTTGATGTTATTTCCAAGTAGATTTTCCACATATTGTTTGAATACAACAAAAGTAGAATAGGCATCAAATTTAGCCTTTAATGGAAATAACCAACTATATCTATTGTAATCATCTACTAGCAACAAGTAGTACTTAAAACCACTAGGTGAAGTGATGGAGGCAGGACCCCCAAGATCACAGTGTAGCAATTGGAGGCTTTGAGTAGTTGTAGAACTAGCAAATCCAAAAGGAAGCTTGTGACTTTTAGCTAAAGCACAATCTGAACAGAAAATATCACCAGTAGTCTTACCTTGCACTATAAGCTGCAAGTTTAGCTGGTGCCACCTGTCCAAAGATCTCAGGATTCATCTTGTCAAAACAGTCAATGGCTTCGTGGCTGGTGGAGCCACAGATTTGACATGTGTTTTTGTGATTAGATGAAGAACCTTGGTTGTTAGACCGGGAGCCTGGATAAGATGCACGAGACTAACCTTCATGATAACTACCAGTGAAGTGTCCACGATTAGTACGGAAATTGTAATTTCCTCTGGAAAAATTGCAATTGTTCCTGCCTCGATTAGAATTGTAACGGAAAGAAGATTGAAGAGGCTGACTATATGCAGCAAAGGCCTGTGGAGAAGGCGTTGGCAGCAAAGGTGCCTGAGATTGGATAGAGAATGCCTGAAATAGCTCAGTAGCATCGGTGGACAAAGTTTGCTTGCAACGAGCCATGGAGATCTCTTTTGTCAGCAACAGACCATGCAATTCATCAAGAGAAGTATAAGACAATCGAACCATGATGAAGTTAATAAATGACTTGAATTCATTAGGAAGACTTTGAAGTGTTGCTGCAATTAGATCATGATCAGATATAGCGGCGCCAATAGCATTGAGAGAATCTGAAATTTCCTTGATTTGTTGTAGATATTCCAAGATCGATTAAGAGCCTTTTTGAATTGATTGAAGATGAGAACGAAGTTGATGGATATGAGCATCAGAAACGCCACCAAAATGTTGTTCAAGCTTCTGCCAAAGCTTTTGAGATGTGGAAACACCTACCGTGAGAAGAATGAGATCTTCAGATAGGGTCGAGTTGAGCCAAATCAAGAGGTTTTGATCTTTTTCAAACCACTGCTCAAATGCTAGGATTCAGGGATCGATCAAGGAGAAGTGGAGCCGGACGTGGCTCAGTACCATTGATGAGGCCAAGAACTTTGTACCGGTGCAAAATTGGAGCAAATAACGTACGCCATGTGAGATATGTGGTGCGTTTGAATTTGATTGGCACATTACTACAAATATTTTGGATCGTAAGAAACATATACGAGTTCTGAGGTTGAGAATTTGCAGAAGAATTAGGGTTTGGTAATGGCAGGTGAGTTAATCGGAAACGAAGAGGTAGAGGGGGAGGCCATGATACTTAGAACTTTATCAAGGAATCGATCAAAGACAAAGAGCAAAAAATCGATTGCGAAGTCAATCAAGGAATCAATCGAGAAAGAAATAAATCGATCAAGAAATGAAGATGGTGAGAAGAAGAGAATCAAGATATTACCGACTCAAAAACTGCCATTACAGATCAAGAACAGTGATCAGAATACCAAATCAATGAAGAACTTCGATCAATTTGAACAGAAATCAGAGAAACTGAGCAGAAGAAATGGAGGATCGAGGAATGCCGGGAGGCGGTTGGCAATGAAACCATGTAGAAATTGTTAAAAAGGGATATTTTCATTGATAAGCTTAATTGACAGTACACAGGAATATATATAGCCACAGAGGCTCATTACATCAGTACCCTTATCTTCTTCAACTAATTACACAAATACCACAATTAACTATTTACTGTTGTAACTAACTTGTGACTGGTTTAGATCTCTCAATAGAAACCGTATGATCTATTAACGGCGATCTGAACTCAGTACGGTATCCAGCACCAGTTACTTATCGTGGCAGTACCGAGTTGTACAAGACGAGAATAACATTGGACAAGACCCGTAGATTACAGCTAAAAGCTCATCTCCTGTGGTAGGCTGATTTCAAGAAAGTAAAGGCTGCAAAACAGGCAAAAGGAAAGTATTATGTAAGGAGATATTAGACTTGTAATGTCACACCCTCAGAGGCTCTAACCCTTATAGTTCTAGATATTGATATAAATTAAACATGAAATACTTTGAAAAACTCCTCCTTAAAGATCTCCTCTTTCGACGAGGCCCCGACACTATAACATCAGTATTACCTTGCAGACATGAAGGCCATTCCTAAAAACACTGCCTTGACGGCTAGCTTCTGCCCCGCATAATCAAAAGCCAAGGGCAGCATCTCATGGAGAGTTAGAAAAGCCATCACTCCACCAACTGCGCCACAACAAAAATACGTGGTAACTACAATTTTCATAAAAACTATTTCTTTGTTTTTTGGTTGAGACATTTTAAATCATCATTAATTTACAAACCTGATCCGAGCAGGCCTTCAAGAATTTCAGGACTCAAGCTGCTTGGGAATAGATAGGCTGCAGCAGAAGTGAAAACCATTAACAAGTTTCCTTCAAGAATTTTGAGGACTCAAGGGCTTAATCCAAATCCAGCGTTCTGATTACGACTAGTAAAAGAAGGATATCTAAAGGTTTATTTGACAGTTCACATACCTACAATTACGACACCCAAAGGCTCAGCTAAACCGGAAAGCGTTGCCAACTTGAATGCCTGCCATTTGCTGGAACATGCAGAAAACCCACCATTTAATAACTTACCATAAGATTCATAAAGTTTTCAAGCTATACAGGCTTAACAAAAACTTATGAAGTAATAATTGCTCTAGAAAGTGAACAAGGCTTAAAGGTCCTGTCCTGAAATGGACACCAACATTGTCGACACTACTCCTGAACAACAATGGCAGAACTATCATTCCATCGCTCCCTCACCCATCAGCACTGCCTTCTCTGTCACCACCTTAAATAATGAAATCCTACAGCACGGCCAACACCATAACTACCTTCACTATGTTCAATGAATTCACCATAACCATACCCTTGACATCAGTACTCCTCCACTATTACCTTTTCTAAAGTATTATTGTCTGCTTCGGGCTTCTCAAAGATAGTTAATGGTCATTTTAAAATAACAGTGAAAAAAAAATCAAATCCATTGTTTCCCCACAATTCATAAGTACTTCAAATGCTGAACTAACGATGCCTTCATATATTCTTACCTCTGTGTTGCAAAATAAACAGGAAGCGCAACAGCAACACCCTAGAAAAGCGAAAGTTATCAGATGTAGTGACATTATAACAGTAATAGTTCTACAACAATAGATGTCCAAACTCAAACTTTAAAGCAATCCCTTGTTTTCCAAATAGTCTACAATTTTGATCACACACTCTATAGACCTAAAGTCTAACAACAATTAGAGCTTGATACTATTCATCACCAACATATATAGGCAGACAATTTTTAAAGAATATTTAGTCTTTCATTTTGAAACTCAGAAAGCAGTTGATAGGTTTTTGAAATGTTAAATGCAATCTGCCATCCTTTATATTTCAATTTCTTTCTGTAGATGTGTGCACTATTCTTGCAGTCGACATTAGTTCCATAGGTTCCAAAGATCGTCTCCTTATCAGCAAAGGAATAAGTTCTTATATTACCAAAATCACCAGTCCAGCCATTGTTGATATGGAAAGTGGGAGACCTTGGAAGGTACAAACAATTATGTGCTACTTTAATCCAGGGCAGAGTGCGAGCAATTAGAGGAATACGCACGATACAAGATATAGGGAATATACCTCTGGGATGTTGTGTAAGGCAATGGCCAAGGCCAAGTTCACACCAACACGAAGGCCCTACAATGAATTATGAACAAGCAAGAATTGCATACGACAATTAGCATCAGCAGATATTATAGTCCTCAAACAGATAGTAAACTATTCTTGCTCCATTTATAACCACCAATCCCATAGATGAAAAGGCTATGCAAATTGTAAGTAATATGCACTAGAAAACATGCAAGAATAATAAGTGCAAGGAACACACATAATTAGCAATGTCAACTAACATATAAATCCATGAAAAAAGATACGTATAAATCAGGATCAATCAAGCATCTAATCAATTTGGACTTGTTTTAGATCACAAAAAAGACTAGCTCTAAAAATTCCAAACTAGACGCCGCAACTTCAGAAATTGTGCTTCAAGAAGAAAGCATCATATTTCCAGGAAACATTAAAATTTTTAGCAGCTGCAGAGTGTCCAGGAGCATATTAATTTGTTGACAATAAAGCTAAAAATGCATTGTAAAGAAGAAAAGAAGAATGTTTCACCAACTAGTTGGTATCTTACATAATGATAGATCTGATTTAGGTCATGAAGACTACCAAATAGTTAGTAAAGATGTTGACAACAAATGATTTAGTGGTCATAGAAACCTCACTCTATTTTTAGACATAATTTATAAGTTTATATTAAATCAAATATAGAACATATAACTCGAAATAAAATGAGCATGACTCCATATATATAATTCAAACTAGAGTTAACTCAATACTCCGAATCCAAGTCATGAAAAGCTTAAGCTTGAGTTACCTTCATTGATCCAAGAAACACGGCCATTCCTTCTGGAAGGTTGTGTAAACTTATGCCTGCAAGTCAATTGACCGGATATTCCACTTCAGAAGGAATATAGTATACAAATCAAGTATAATTCTCAAAAACATTTGCTCAGACTTTATTACTTGAGAAGTAAAAAAAAAAAGCTCCAGAAACTAAGACTTTCAAATTTTGCAAATGACATAAAACACCCTTAGGCCTTGGGTAGGTTGGGATGTGGGTGGAATGGTAGAGGGGTGGGTTTTATTCTTCTTGTATGCACGCAAAGACATAAATAGGCTTTGCTAATTACAGAACTGAGTACCACAAATTTAATTTATCATGCACACTTTTAGACTACAAACATGCAAAAACTAACTAATATTTCCAATTCTACAGATAAATGAAGATTTAATTTCATTTTCTAATTCGAAGAACTGTATGGAAGGTGATTTAAGCATGGTAATACCTATTGCTGTTACTATCCCACTGAATAAAACTTGTCGGCGATGCTTTTTCAAAGTGTCCTTGCCTCCTTCATCTTTCTGTTGTTAAGTATATCGTCACACGGTCAGACATGCTTTCAAAGTGTGATCCCCAGTCATATGTTAAGGTATCCACAACATGCTAAAGTAGGAGGAGAAGAGATAATCACTACCTTCGAAACAGGAGCAAGAGTTGGTTCTGGAATAAAATTGGCAATGATAGCAAAGAATATGACACCTCCAAAAAACTGCAACACCAAGAAATTCTAACTTATTCTTAGAGAAATGGGGGACAATAAATGTCATAAAAGTGAGCATTCGAATCAGAGTGAATCAGAATTCGACGGCGAAGCTAGGGGTGGCTACCATGAGGAATAGCCCAAGTAGCTGTTGCAGAAAATATACCTATATTTATTGTCTCCAACCAAATAAATAAAAAGTAGCCTATCCATTGAGAACTTCCTGGCTCCGCTATAAATTCAGATGAAGATTGAAGTACATGGCTTACCCATAGATTGCCTTTTAAAAAACCAATTGAGTTGATAGCATTGTGAGCCAAATCTAGGAGTGATATGCTTAGCATCAGACCTGCAGCAAAACCCTGCATAGAGAACATTCAGAGGTTTAGATGGATCATACTGCCTCTAAGCATATCCTGACTATAACACCAAGTTAAAAGGATCATGAAAATGGCATCAATGTCAAGATGGATTTTGTTAAGTTAAATTTCTGGTTGAGTAAAATACGGTGACACGTAAATATCGGCTGGGAGAGAGAAGGACATGTAAGCAATGAAGTCAATAGGCTGATTGATTCTTTAAAAGAAAGAAAACAATGACATTAGTAGACAGAAAGAAAGAAAGAAAATTCAAAATTTGAGATGAAATCAGAGTACCTGTAAAAGCCCGAGCATCTTCAAATTCGGAGTCTCATTGACAATTACTAAAAGTGCACCTGTTTCACATTCCAAGACTTATAATTAGGCTCCATAACATAAGCTGATCAACTAAGCATCGAGGTGAACATGATAAATTAAGAAATTCCACAAAAACCATAAATCAAAATCCTTATTCGAACCATGACCAATACCAAAAACTTGCCTAAAAACCATGGGAACAAATCCTAGCAATTTCATTATAACCAATTACACCCTTAAAATTCATTTTGTTCAATTTCACAACAACTTGATGGAGTCAAATTTCTCTAAAAAATCAAACCTTTATAGAAAAATATAGTAAATTGAGCTGCATTTCGATAGTTGTCTATCCTATCAATTCCAGCATCATATATTATACCATTAAACCTCAATTCCACAACAACTCGATGGAGTCAATTCGCCCGGTAATCGAAATTATAATAAGCTGATTTAGCAACCTCAACAATGCATTCATTATCACACTTCCATCAAAAGATTTCAAGGGGGTGTAGTCAAATTAGGAACTTAAAATCCTAGGGTAGTCAATCAGAATTTTAAAAGACATTCTCAACGTCCATGTTATCCGTATACAGTCAATTAGCATTTTAATGGATTTTAAGCAAGTGTACACAAATCTAGGTGTAGTAAAAAAAGTTATAGAGCTCATGGGATTTCATTAAACTGTGGATTTTAGTGGATTCTAGGATAGAAATATATACGTTGAAGCCTATAAACAATCCCACCCTTCCCCTAAAGATTTCATTAGATTTTCCTCGCACAAAGCTTGCTGCTTTCAACCTCAAAACTGAGAGTAAGATAAACCCAGAAGCCAATGTGGAAAACCATTCTACACGAACGAAACAAGAAAAACAAAATTCAAATAAATGGGGTAATTCAAATTTGAAATTGCTGAAATGGGCAGTTGAAATTGTAGCAGAGCATGAACAAGCACGAGTTTTTATGTACTCACCGAATGAAGTACTGAGTCCACCCACGAGTGACAGCGCGAGAGCCACCAAAACCTGATATCCCATGGAGGAGCTTTGACCAAAAAAGCTCCAAGAATTTTGGGTTGAAAAGAGTTTGACGGAATTATGACTGAATTGAGCGTAAAATGAAAAACACTGGAGCTGAAATGGTTTATATAGAGAGAGGAGAGAGAGAGGAGGGGAGAGGGAATTTTCAATTTTGTGTAGTGGAGGAAAGAGACGTTTCGTAGAGAGGAGAGAATAGAACAGAACAATTGAGTTTCTTTCTCTACTTTGGTAGTTTATACCTAACCTTGGCTTGTATTATACGATCATCCAATCCGTACTTCAATGGAAGTGCTAATTCCTATATTTTAAGGGCTAGTGCCCTTGGCTAGTATTGTAATGTAAAGTGCTTCACGCCAGAATCAATACCTAGATTACCTATCACCAAAGAAGAAATCTGTGTTTCGTATCCATGAGTTTGGATTCTTTTCTCTTATGCAGATGTGGGTAAGGTTTTAAAAACGCTTAGGCATTAGTTGGACGGCAAACAGAGATCTTGACGGATTTGAATAAAATAATTATATATATGATATAAATTAGTTAAATTTACTATATAATAGATAAATAAACATTGAGTAATACGCTATTTTTGAAAAAGATATGCATATATATTGCAAGAGTATAATATAGTCTGGTCTTAAAAAGAAAAAATAATAAAATATTATATTATAAGAATATAATATAACGTTGTTTTCAAAACAAAACAAAACAAATAATAAAGTATTATCTAAATAATTTATCTAATACATCTATTAGTTGATAGTGGGTAATTATTGTTTATGTTTTTTTATTCTGAGGCTAGTGGACGTTCACACAAAAGAAGGCCTTTTTCCCCTTTCCTGATTTTCCCTGCTGCCTAATCTCTATCTCTTCTCTTCAACCCTCTATCTTATTCTCTTCTTGAAAATAAGGCTGGTGGACTTTCACACAAAACTATGCATTTTTTCCCCTTTCCCGATTTTCCCTGCTGCCTAATCTCTATCTGTTACCAAGACAACCTTTTATCTTCTTCTCTTCAACCATCTATCTTCTTCTCTTCTTGAAAACAACAAATCAAAACAACTCCCTCTAACCCTCCATCTCTCATCCGCACATCTTCCTCTATCACTCCTTCTAATCCACCACGGTAATTCTCCGTTTTCATGTACAGAAGTTCTGGGAAAGAGGCGAAGCCACACTGACTTTAAATTTTGATTATGTGCAATGCGGTCGTACTCCTCCATCATGTTGTCGACGTCTTCGTCGGTGGTGACAGAGATCAACGGGTCAGTTTGCACAGACGCAAAGCAAAGAGACGAGGAACGACTAGCATCGCCTAGCTCCGCCTAGGGCCGCCTAGATCCTCTTCAATTAATGGAACATTTTTCCTAAAATCGTCACAAAAGCCCACCGCCCATCCGTCCAGTGCCTAGGCCGATTTTTAGAACATTGAATGTGAGTATAATCACGTTGATTAGAGTCGATATGCTATTCTATACGAGTATTCATAATTTAGTGTAGAATAGTACTTGTACCTTTTGTTTCGAATTGACGTGATATTCTATATTAAGCTACACTGAGACAAACTGAGAAGGATTTGAACCTGCGTTGTTCTTTTTTGTCAGAATGTTACTATTTGCACTCATTTGTCTTATTTCTTCACTCATCTTCTATTCATTTGTCATGAACATTTTTAATTAATAGTTTTTGAGCAAAAGATACTATTTATAGTGGGGGAGTGGGTTAAGCCTCACAATGGACTATCAATGTCAATAATATGGTTCCAATTCACCTTTGATGAGAATCGAACCTAAAACCTTTCACTTACAAACAGTGTTCTAAAACGCGATCTGGGCGACCACCTAGGCCTTGGGCGTCGGGCCGTCGCCGTGATTATTTCAAAAACTTTTAGTAAATCGGCAAGGGTATTAAGCGGTGCCTAGGCGGCCGACTAGGCGGGCTAGGAGCCGAGCTAAGCGGCCTCCACGGTGGTTCTATTAAAATATTATACGTTTCGCCGTTTCACTACACCGCGAGGGTGACAACATAAAATTTGAAAAGAGAAACCGAGAAAGTGTGAGAAAGATCTGTAGAAGGAATCAGAATAATGATGCAATTGCAGAAAGAAAAAAAAAAAACCAAGAACTTTGTCTTGGAAACTTCATATATTCTTCGTTGAAGATGATTTCTTTGATGTGCTTGAGGAATTTGACTGGACTCATGATTAGGTTTTGGAAAATTATACAGAACAAGAAGATGAAAATTAGGTAGAGAAGATGGGGAATCAGGCGGAGCAATCGAAGAAGAATAGAAGGGAGAGGAAACAAGAAACCCCAAAATAAAGGCCTTGCCGATTTCCAAGGCGTCAAAAGCCACTCCCTTCTGTCTGTCAGATGGATTTCCACCATTAGCACTAGGCTTATTAATTATATTAAAAAAAAGTTACCTACTTCACTATTAAACAAATATATTATATATTATTATCTTTCTTTTTTTTCAAATTATGTACTTAAAATTCTTACATTACCTGTACACACACACATATAAGTATTTTGACTAATTGGATTTCCATCATTTTGTAATTTATGATGAAATCATATATATTTTAAGTATAAACATACATTTATTTACACGAAATATAATAGATTTAATTAAATCTGCTTAGTCCACCTAGGCGCCCGTCTAGTCCACCTAGGCGCCGCCTAGGGGCTAGGCCCCAGCCCGCCGCTAACTAGCGTCCTAGCGTCTTTTAAAAGCTTGCTTACAAATGAAGAGAAATACCACTAGACTGTAGTACTAAGTGACATTTTCAATTAATATTTGAGTGAGAATACCCACTTTTTTGTGATCGTTTTATGTTTGTAAATCTAAATAATCTAGTTTTAGGATACAACATTTACATTAATTAGAGTCATGTTAACCACACTCTTTTTAGGATCGTTTTGTATGCACCGAGTTCCATTTTTTTCTCTTATGCAGATGTGAGTGTGGTCAAATTAATCAGAGTCAATGTGCTCCTCTACACGAGTATACACAAATAAGACTACAATATTGCTTATATGTTTTGTTTCGGATTAACGTGATATTCTGTATTTAAGCTACACTAAGATAGGTGAGAAGGATTTGAACCAGAGTTGTTGTTTTTGTGAGAGTGTTACTATTCGCACTCATTTGTCTTATTTTTTAACTCATCTTAGGCCTTTAATAGTAGTTTAAGTAAGTATGATACCTATATATATGAATCGGGCGACCTGAGTTTGATACCTGTAACACTAGTGAGACACTAGCGTGAGTTAAAGAGTTGATATCACACTCATGAGTGTAATAAATCACACACATGAGTTCAATATATTAGTATCACGCTCAAATTTTTTGGTCCACTAAAAATTTATGATTATGATGAGTTCAATATATTAGTATCACACTATTGTAAATGACCTTACGATATTCAAGATTTAGGTATTTGGTGCAAAATAATTGTAATTCAAGCGTAGTTCCCAATTTGACTTCATCCTTCCTAAAGATTAAAAGACATACCTTAAGTTCAAAATAACCTTTTAGGAATACCGTAAACAATATATCTTACGGGAAATGATTTTTAGACTTCCATTTTGACCTCACGTATTTCTCCAAGGGCGTGCTTAAGGGTAGCCGAAGTAGGCCCGCATAGCTCACCCCCACCAAAGACCCCCCATTTTTTTTAAATATAATATATATATATATATATAATTATAATTATAGGCAATAATATAATTCTCTAGAAAATAATTTACATTTTTTTTTATTTTCTCTCACCCGTATGTATCCCTACTTTAATATTTTTTCTAACCATCAGATGTAGTTCATGTAATCCAACCATTCATTCATTTACTGAACGTAATAAGTAACTTTGTAACTAAACAATAAAATATGATTGAAATTTGGCGTACTAGGTAGTGAGTCTAGCAACTCCTCTTTCGGTCTAATCGGTCCAACTTGGTGGTGACTAGTAAGTGAGCCTGGCGAGGTGATATCCCACAAACAATGGATCAAAGCTAGCATGGCAAACCAAGGGGTGGAATTAGAGATGTTTTTTGTGTCTGCGTCTGCGTCTGCACGAACACGTGACGAGATTGTTGGTTTCCAAAATTTCTCATCATTAATGAAGTTATCTTGACAATAAAATAATAAATAAAATTACTCAATTGTTCGTGGCTAGAGCCTAGAAAGACACTTTACCAGATCATGGGAGTTTTTTGAGTATGGATATCTATTGGAAAAGGAAAATTAAACATATTCTTCAACAGCAAGGTATGCACATTAGATTGGTTACAGATTGAATTACAAGGGACCACATAAAATGAGTGAACTTATTTATCATTCTTCTATCATGAGTATGATAATTGGCATGAAATGTTACTTCCTATGAGTGCAAAGCTAGTTAGATTTTTACACTTGGTGAAAATCAAGGTGGGAATTTATTTTTTCTACGAGAAAATGTAAGAGGCTTGATAAGGTTAAGGCAGAAAATTCTTCTTTTTATTGATTCGTTGGAAAATTTTGGGATACTGGAGGAAACTAAGGTAATGTATTCAATTTAGATTGTAAAGAAGTTTAAGATCTAATTAGACTCAATAGATATGTTAAATGAGTTTCTGAAAGTAGTAGGGTATATATTTAGAATTTTAAAGGAGTTTATAAAAATTCATAGAAATTCTAGTGTATTCAATAAGGATTTCAAATGAATTCGTAAAAGTCCATATGTATTAAAGAAAATCATTGATTTTAAAGGATTTTGGATTTTCTGAGGAGTACATAGAATTTCATAGTGTAAATTAAGCCACAACAAATTTTAACACACACACTAAGGTTTTGATGGATTTGTATTTCTTTCTTTTTCTCTCCTTCTCCATACCATATCAACCACGTCCACCACCATTTTCATCGTCGCGTTTCTATGGTCGACCAACACATGACAATGATTACCTCCACCAACTCAAAATTTATCTCTTCAGTCTCCCTATTTCTTCATCTTTATGTTCAGCTAAGGGATTCCTCGCCTGGTGTGCTGGGTTGGCTCCAGCTTTGGCTTCTTGATTGGCTATTATTAGAAGACATATATGTTATACCAACAGATGGATCAAACATGATAAGATACAACATATTAAAAAATGAGCCAAAATGAGCCAAACTGAACCAGCAAACTTCGACTCTTATTTCTTTCTTTCTTCATATGGTAAAGGAAAGCAAAATTTGTATTTTGCTCCCCCTATTGATAGATCAAAGGCCCTCATGATGTCGTTTCAATGACTCATAGAGCTTTCCTCAGCTCAGTTTTTTCATTCAGCGAAAACTGAATACAAGTCTTCCAACCTAATTGAGCAATCAAGTAGTTTGCTTATCCCTCCAATCATTAAACGACTAAACACAAAACCATGTTTTTTCACCTCTAAGTTTAAAAATGGTTGTGCATCTCATTTTGGATATTGGTTTGTACCTTTGATTTTGGATGATAAACTGGAGAGAGAGGGTGGTGGACGAGATATGGAAACTCATGACAAGTATATGAAGAGCAGTGGAAGAAAATCAAAAGATAAAAAAAAACAGGGTTATTGACCAAACAATAGCAAAAAATGTGTATTGACGATTAATGATGTAGCAAAAATTTACCATTAGATGCCTTTAGAGGTAGAATGAGAATCCTTACCGGATTCTCTTTTGAAAGAATTCCAGAAATCCTCCAATCACATCCGTTCATCGTACATCGTGCGGTTAAAAATCATTGTAAATTGTTTTATTTAAAATTAAATATAAACAATACTTGACGAAAACTGACGCACTATGTATGATAAATGAACACAATTGGAAGATCTCGGGAATTCATCCGAAAACAATCCTCATTCAGATTAAAATTCATGAGAATTCATCTAATTCATTAATATTTCTTATTAAAGTCTCACAAATTCTATTAAATTTCACTTTGAAATTCACATAAGAGCCTTTAAAAATCAATTTAAATCCACGAATTTATGACTCAATCAAAATATTTTAAATCTCAATAGAATACAGTCCCAAGTTGAGAATTAATTTGTCTTATGCCTTCCCGTTTACAAAGTTGAAAATTAAAATGCTCGATCAATTGTGTTCAACAATAGAGATTCCAAATTGACATCCTCGTTTTTCCACAAGTCTTCAACCGTGTGGCTCCACGCAATTCTGGACTTTTATATTATACTAAAAAATGGTTTTACAAGATGTGTTCTTCATTGAAAATATTTTTAAAATAATTAAAAATGTTTTTAAAGAAAGTAATTTTAAAACTAGTTTTAATAAAAAGTACTTAAATGCTTTCTACGAGATACTTCTTTTAAAAGATATTTCAAGTATTTTTGAAACTTAAAAACACTTTTATCGAAAGCATTTTAAGTTATTTTAAAATAAATTTCAAACGATATCTAAGTTAACCAGTTACATTAACATAACAACACTCTTTATTAAAGGTAGTTTAAATAAAATAAAAAAGTTTTGCGGAAAGTAATAAACTTTCAAAATGACCTTTTTAATTAAATTTTCCAAATTCCCTTCATATCCCTCCGGAAACCACAGAAAACACCCCTCTACGCTGCCATAGTTGAAGATCGAAGCTGCTTCTTCTACCTCTCTAAACCCGTAGACGGCCGCCCTCACTTTTCCACCTAATTTTTCATCACTTTCTCGAGAAAATTAAAAAATGGAATTCCAAATGGCCACTCGCATCGCCCTCCGCCTCAAATCCCACCTCCTCCGAACCACAACCCCGATCCACCACCACGCCATCAAATCTCCACCGTTTATCTTCTCCCGACTCTCCAACCCTCATCTCCACCCTCCATCAAATCCCCACCTTCCCTTCACTCTCCGTTTCTTCTCCACCGCCCGCCGCGGCCCGACCCGCCCCAAACCCGTCGACATCGGTGCCCGCGCCCGCCAGCTCCAGACCCGCCGACTCTGGACCTACGCTCTGACCTTCAGCTGCATCGCCGGATTCGTTGTCATTGTCCTCAACAGCTTCCAAGACCAGCTCGTCTTCTACGTCACGCCAACCGACGCAATCGAGAAGTACTCCGCAAACCCAAGCAAGAGCAAGTTCCGGGTCGGCGGCCTGGTCCTCGAAGGCAGCGTCGTCCAGCCGTCCTCCTCGCCGGAGATGGAGTTCGTCGTCACCGATTTGATGACCGATATCTTGGTCCGGTACAAGGGATCATTGCCCGATTTGTTCCGGGAGGGTCACTCGGTGGTGGTGGAGGGATTTGTGAAGCCTTTCACGGATGAAATTCGGAAGGAGATTTCGACGAAAAGCATATCGGAGAAGGCGAGGACCGGCGAGTGCTATTTCGCCGCCACGGAGGTTTTGGCCAAGCATGACGAGAAGTACATGCCGGGTGAAGTCGCCGCCGCGATTGAGAAGAATAAGAAGAAGCTGGAGGAGGCCGGTGGCGGTGGCGATGAAGATGCTAAAGATGGTAAAGATGCTAAGAGCGAGTAGTTGATGGGTATGAGTTAAATTTTATATCTTTTTTCGGTTATATTTCGGTTTTGTTAGTATACATGATTGCAGAAACGGGTTATACTTGGATAGTTCATAGTTGGATGATTGATTCAAAAGGATTGATCTTTAGGTGAGGGAATAGGCATTGATGCTTAGGAAAAGAGTTGAATTTTTGGAAATTTGAGGCTTTAAAGTTTCGAATTTTCTTGTTGTAGTGATATAATTTCACCGTTGAATTCTTTAGTTTTTCATTTCGATTTAGAAATCAATAATGCCATTAATGGGAATGGCGGCAGAGCGAAATTGAAATTCTTGGCAGGAGTTGTATGAATCTGATAACTTTGTGAATTTGAATTTGAGATGTTTCATATTGTTGAGAACAGAGAGATGAATGTGGTTTCTTCTCCTTTGTGTTACATTCAAGATCTTTTAGCAACACGGTTCGCTGATTTGTTATGAATTGTCTGAACAGGTTGTTATCGTGGCATACATTTTGGTTTCTTTGAAGCATCTGTTGTGTTGTATTAGTATGAATGGTTTGAGCATAGTTTGGGTTACACACTAAGCTACTTCTCAGAATTTGTCTAAGGTTTAGCTTCCCGCACTCTGTACTATGGAGGCTGGGCACCAGCCGCCATCAAGAAGTTGAACTTAAGTCCAACCCGAACTTGAAACTCTAGAAATACTAAGCCAGCCAAAGTTATTGGTTTGAACGTAGAAATCATTCATCAAGATATGGATGTTGGTGGTCGCTTTTTTCGACAACCCACCTTCAAGGATTAGTTATATATTGCTGGATGATGAGTTAAGAGGATCAACAAAAGCTGAAATATTTGTACTGATTCTTGGTTGAGCTGAGCTCTAACAATGGCAAAGGCTGTGTCGGAGATTCTTGTATACTGGCTACATTGTGGTAGCCATATACTGGAATTTCTTGTTGTCGAGACCAATGGCGATTCTAAACTTGTAGGGGATCAGAAAAATCCGAAATATTTGAGATCAACAAGAAGTTTAGAATTGCTATTGGTCTACACAACGGGAAATTCAAGTAAGAATTCCCCTACACGACACCATTGCCTTTGTTAGAAATATGAATACTTTAGGGTGCTTGATTTTAACATTCTCAAGTGGACTCCGGCCGCAAGTTCTGCTGTTACTTGCCCGTAGGTTATGAACTTGTGAGCAGGCATGTCAAATGTAAAGTAGGCATTGCGTCTAAGGTAGCTTCTGAACTTCAAATTAATTGGTAGAATATTGTTTTCAAGTGGTTAATCAAAATACCGATCAACTTTTTGAGACTTGTATACGCTGTCAGATCGGGCCAAAGAGATGGCCATGGCCGCTAGACCGCGGCCGTTGGCTCTAGAAATGCAAATTTGAAGGCCAAAAATAGCACATTCAGACCAGTACTGTATTATATATTATGATGAAGCAATATAACAACCATAACAAATGATGAAATCCATCTCCAAAAGGATACAGAAAATACCACAATAATTAAATAGCAATCTCAGTCTCAAATCTCCCTAATGCCGCAGCAGAGCAAAGAGAGAGAGCAGCAACGAAGAGTAAACAAAAGCGCTGGAAATGGTCACTGGAATTCCGGCTCCAGCGTCCAATGCCGGTGATGGTGCCGGCGCGCTATCCTGAGCTGTAACTGAGACGAGCACAATGGCGATTGCCATCAAGAACACAGCTTTGCAGATGCTAACTTGCGCCATTTCTAGAGAGGAACAGAGAATGGATTAAGCGAACTGTAAGGAGAGGGAGAGAGAGAGAGAGAGAGAGAGAGAGTGTGTGTGTGTGTGTCTCTCAGGCTGACTGAATAAGGTGAGGGACTCTGAGAAATGTATTTATAGACCGTTTTAATTTTAATTATTTGTAATTAAACTTTGAAACTTTTCAAACAAAAATATGAGTACGAGGATGGTAACGTTACTCTCCCGTTATGTTGTGTGGCCCCATGATTGGAAGGTGACGTGTCAGCCTTTTGTTCCTTTTGTGGTCCCCATAACGGCTCTATTGGTCGGTTGTTGTCTTTGTTGTATAGGGTGGCAATATCTAGACCGTTGAGTAAAGAAACTTCAAAAATGATACTTTACCAAAGGAAAGATAAATGAAGGAAAATGTTTAAGGAAATTTTATTTGAACTCATTTAATTTATTTCTACACATAATTTACTTTATTCATCTATATTATTTTTTATTAAAGAATTAATATCTCTTTAAACTCAAATTTATTACCTAAACTACTATCTCAAACCTAATTCAAAATGTAAAAGTATCTTTACACTTATTCCTTTTATAAAATAAAATCTCTAATTGAATGTTTTTTTTTTTTCTTCAAAGAGGCATCATTTGCCCCTCTATAATTGCATATGTTGTATAGGACTAGCATTTCCATGACTGCTTTTTTTCTTTCTGCTACCACAACCTATCCATGGACTTGGGATCCAAGAGATCATTCCATAGACTTGAATTTGCCAAGAGAATGTTATTGTTAAGTCCTTTTTAAATCGAGCATTTTCATGTACTTTTTAAGAAACTTTGAAGTGACATAGGGCTGAGTGTTTTGTTGCTGTTAATAAACAAATTGGAGCTATTTCGAATAAAAAAAGTGCAAGATATGTCACCCGCTAGTTTGTGGTTAAGGTTGAGCAATCTTTATTTGCACCAAGAATCAAGTTTTATGTCTTTGTAGTACTAATCAAAAGTCCTTGCACTGGTGTTTTGAGACCCATACAGACAGCAGAGTAACAAATACCATATAATATAAAAAGTATGAAATTTAATCCAAAGAAGAAGCAAACAAACAAAATATCCATAAATTGAGTCATACCTTAGGTGGAGAATTAAAAACTTCAAAATCACCATCCATCAATAGAAAAACTTGTTTTTCTCTATCAGAGCTATTAGGGTTTTAGTCGGAATGAACGTAAGATAAACAAAGGGTGATGCTAGGGTTTAATTATAGTATGTGGGTCTATTGATAAATTTGACTTTTATTATTAATTTCATTTTGTACTAAATAATAATTATGCAATAGGGTAAAATAGACAATTAACATTTAAAATTTAAATTGGGTGTAAAAAGAAGTTAGATGAGTTTAAATAAAATTTCCCAAATGTTTACTTGTGACATCCCACATCACCCAGGGGTGTGATCCTTAAATGTATATTCCCATCCCTACCTAGCACGAGGCCTTTTGGGAGCTCACTGGCTTCGGGTTCCGTTGGAACTCCGAAGTTAAGCAAGTAGCGCGCGAGAGCATTCCCAGGATGGGTGACCCATCGGGAAGTTCTCGTGTGAGTTCCCAAAAACAAAACCATGAGAGAATGGTAAGCCCAAAAAGGACAATATCATGCTACGGTGGTGGAGCGGGCCGGGGAAGTGATCCGCCCTGGGCCGGGATGTGACAATTTGGTATCAGAGCCTAACCCTGGTCGTGGTGTGCCGACGAGGGCGTCGGGCCCCTAAGGGGGGTGGATTGTGACATCCCACATCACCCAGGGGTGTGATCCTTAAATTTATATTCCCATCCCTACCTAGCACGAGGCCTTTTGGGAGCTCACTGGCTTCGGGTTCCGTTGGAACTTCGAAGTTAAGCGAGTAGCGCGCGAGAGCATTCCCAGGATGGGTGACCCATCGGGAAGTTCTCGTGTGAGTTCCCAAAAACAAAACCGTGAGGGAATGGTAAGCCCAAAGCGGACAATATCGTGCTACGATGGTGGAGCAGGCCGGGGAAGTGATCCGCCCCGGACCGGGATGTGAAATTACTTGTTTTCACATGAAATATTTCTTGATTCACCCCTAAAGATAGGAGTAAATATTTGGTAGAGCTCACACAGAGTGAAATCATGTGAGGTCTAGTGAAATTTAAATACAATAATTTGATGTTTGACATAAATATTTTATGAATGATGTGATTGGATATCCTTATCCAAGTTTTTCTTCAAAAAAGACTACTAATTTTCTTCTGTATTTAGAACTATACCAACATTTCAAGAAAATTAAGCACATACTATTAAGGATTTAATTTGTTTAGGTCTTAAGAGAATCCCACAATAAATTATACGAATTTGATGCTTAATAGTTCACAATTTGATAAATTAAGGTTGATGATCTATAAAATGTTATGAATTCAATAATTTGATTATCAACGGATTCACATTACGCCGATTCAATTTGAATGTGATTCTTGTTGACAGATTTAAGTATCAGATAATCATTGGCCACACATTAGATAGTACATATATAATACATGGACGTTCTAGTGGACATTATGCACTTATTACATGGACGTTGATGAATTAATTTCAAGCCTTATATCTTGAAATTAATTCATCAAGTTGATGATAAAATACATGGACTGTTACAGTGGACATTATGCACTTGTTACACAACAACCCCTTAGAGGAAGGGCCAAGCAAGGGGGACAACGGGTAGGAGAAATGGAAGTTTGGGCTCTAGAGGGATTTGGTGTTGCTCAAATTTTACGTACAAAAACGTGACCTTTCTTGTATTTTTCAGTCTGTAATTATGCATGGTGTTACCTTCACATACAATGGTACAAAATAGGTAATACCCATAATATTGGTCATATCCTCCACTATTCTTGGTATTTATTACTTAATTAATTTGTTAGTTTGTTATACCCATGCATGTAGGCGTTGTTCATGCAAAACCATACACGTACGTACTAACCCTTCCAAACCTCAAACAACATCCAACAGATTTCATCCCAAAAATAACAAAATCCTCCTCCATAGAAAGCTATATATACCTCCCACTGCCCTCCTATATTCCTCAGGACAGCTACAAACTTCTACAAGCCTCTTAACATTCCAATTGCAAGGCGTGTTTTCGATTCATTGACCGACCACACGCCGCTCGCAAAATGGCCATGAAGAAGATTGCCTTGGTTGTCCTCGTAGTTGCCGTCTGCATCAGCGCAGCAATGGCCGCTGCACCTGTAAAGGGTGCCGCAGCCACCACCTCTGCAGCCACCCCCAGCTGCAGCCACCCCTGCCGCTGCAGCCACAGCTGGCCCTGAAGCTTCTACTCCAGCACCTAATGGAAGTAGCATGAACGACGTTGGATCTTTGGTTGGAGCTTCACTGTTGTCCTTCTTGGCCATTTACTTGAACTAAATTGTTAATCAAGTGATCAAAAAGGATGAGAGAGAAGTACTTGATCAAAAAGGATGTGCGTGTAACATATTCCCCAATAAATGAAGCTATAACGCTACTTACTCATATTATTCTTCTTGGCTAAGTTTATTAATCTTTCTTTGTTTTATCATCTGTTTGCTTCATTTTGCAATTCCGCTATTTTAATTAGTACTATATGTTAGAATTAAATTTGCGCACATCAATCCATGGACGGAGACGAAATTTAGAAAGAGAAAGAGAGGAATGTTAACAGAAAGAATAAATGTGTGAGAGCCTGGAGATCAGAGAGTTGAGGACAGAGAGAGAGAGAGGAAGAGAGAGAAGGTTAACAAAAAGAAAGAGTGGTTGGACATTTTTATTCATACTTAACTAAGATTTGACAGAAATCTCACTTTTGAGTTAAATTTGCTATCAATCTTCACCGCAAGAGTTCAAATCCTAATTTGTTTATCACATGGACTATCTTCCGAATATCATCTCATCATAGGAATCATTAATCCGGTTTGACCATAAACTTTGTTTTCTCAATACACATGCACCACAAATAATCCAACGTAAGAACTACATCTCAAGACTATTTTTATTCAAGCTCCTAAACTTGCTGTCGTCCTTCGTTGTAGAACAAAGTAAACCCTAATCACTAAAGGTGCATATAATTACACGCCGAAGAAGATCTTTCGGCAGACAATATCATATTATTGGTCAAACCCCAAACCACGAGACATGGCTTCATTTTGAACAAAGTAATTAAACCTACCCTCCACATGAGGCACGATTCATATTTTTCTCATTTTACATCAGGTTTAACAGTGTCATACTAATGGCCAAACTAAAAACCACGATACAGTTTTGGTAGAGAAAACAACCAATACATAAAGATATTTCGGTTGAGATGTAACAAAATGTGTCTATAGTTTCGATCATAAGGAATGGATATTTCAACTTCTTTTAGTAGTCCCTCACTGAAAGTACAAGGTAAAGCCACGCGAAAATATTTTGGCAGAACTTTACAAATTTATATAATTTATGTCATAGGCAACCGAATACTTGAACTTGTTTTAGTAGTTTTGTATTGAAAATGCAAGGTTTATGTAGTCACTGTTTGTTGTACCTGAGTAGTGGAGTACTACTCTCCTAATGTCTTCATTTTGAGAATCAATGAGGACTAAATGCATACTAGCCACATGATTATATTAGTTTAGATCCAAAGACATAAAATATTTAACAACTTAATAAAACAAAACAAGAAAATGAGTTTTATTTTTTTCATTTTTTTTTATGGTTCATAAATTTTAAGTTGGTTTTGTTTTATTAAGTTGTCAAATATTTTAAACTTTTGGATCTAAAACTAATATAATCTTGTGGCTAATATGCATTTGATCCTCAAAATAAGAATCTTAGGAGAGCAAGACTGTTGTATCCTGCACTACAGAACTGTGTTACATGAAGAGGGTGTGTGAGAGAGTAGTTTGGGTATGTTAAGTGAGTGTTTTAAGATAATCCCCTTAACTAAAAATAAATGTGCATTTTTGTTCAATATGTAGGTTTGTTTAACAAATTATGAGACATGCACTTCTAATTTTGTATATTTAAGAAAGAAAAATAAATTTGAGAAGTACAAAATGATTTTTTTAGAGTGTCAATAATATCTTCCATCCATAAAACCATCTTTAATTAATTTCTTCGCAGTTTTAAGATACAAGTTATATTGGGAGAATAGAGATAGACGTTATAGGCTCGTTTGGAAGTGCATTTAAAATTACTGAAAGCACTTCTAGAAAAAATATTTTTAGGTTCTAAAATCACTTAAAGTGTTTTCGCAAGAAGCATATTAAATACCTTTTTTTTTTTCAGGATTTACTTGCATTATAACTAAGGATTGGTTCTAAAATATTTTCACTAAAAGTGTTTTCAATCATTTTAAAAGCACTCCAAACAAGTTTTATAATAAATAATAAAAGAATAGAGATACAAACAAAATAACTCGATAGTAGGGGGAACACTCTAACTATTTAAGCTAAACAGGTGGCATTTCATTTGTTATTTTGTTATACCATTATAGGCGGCGTTGTTCATGCAAAGCACACGCACCTAAGAACCGTTCCCTACCTCAAACAAAACCCAACAGATTTATTCCAAAAATAACCAAAATGCTCCTCCATAGTTAGAAACTCCAAAGCTATTTAACCCCAAGGCTCTCCCTATTTTCCTCAGGACAGCTAAAACTACTACGAGATCAATACAATACTCTAAATTCTAAACATCCGATTACAAGGCGTGTTTTCGATCCCTCGACCGACCACACGCCACCCACAAAATGGCCATGAAGAATATTGCCTTGGTTGTCCTCGTAGTTGTTGTCTGCATAAGCGCAGCAATGGCTGCTGAACCTGTAAAAGGCGCCGCAGCCGCCAACGCTGAACCTGTAAAGGGCGCCGCAGCGGCCAATGCTGAACCTGTAAAGGGCGCCGCAGCCACCCCCGCCACAGCCACAACCGCTGCAGCCACCCCTGCCGCAGCCACAACCGCTGCAGCCACCCCCGCTGCAGCCACAACCTCTGCGGCCACCCCCGCTAGCACCCCCACCGCTGCGGCCGCAGCTGGCCCTGAAGCTTCTGCTCCAGCACGTAGTGGAAGCAACATGAACGCCGTTGGATCTCTGGTTGGAGCTTCACTCTTGCCCTTCTTGGCCATTTACTTGAACTAAATTGTTAATTAAGTGATAAAATAGGACGAGAGAAGTACTTGATCATCTTTTTAATTAGGGCGTGTGCGTATAATATGTTCCCCAATAAATGAAGCTATAACGCTTTTTACTCATATTATTCTTCTTGGCTACGTTTATTAATCTTTCTTTGTTTATCATGTGATTGTTTCATTTGCAATTCCACCAGTTTAATTAGTGCAATATGTTGGAACCAAATTATCGCACATCTACGGATGGAAGTAAGAATTGTCCATGATCTCCGGTGAATGGGGTTGATTGGTGTTGGAACAAAAAACGCGTAGATCCTTAGCCGTAGGCGAAATCTAGTCGGAATTGCACATGATCTTCAGCGAAGGGAATAAGAGGTTAAACTTGAATCAGAATAAAACTTCTACATATCTTCGGGAAGGAGAATCAGACCATGAGTGTAGTTCTAAGATAGAATGGCATGATGTGCAATACATCGTGAACCATCCTTAACGAATAGCCTATGATAGGGTGTTAAGGAGATAATTATCCATGGACATGTTTTCGCGTGACAGCGGTGTGTATGCAAGATGAGCATCTACCAGGTGCAGAGAGAACATTTATGTTGTAGTCGTCTAGAGAAGATGAAGTATCGTCTCAGAGTCAAAGGGGAGGCTGGATAAAGTCTTGGATCCTTAAAGAATTTGTTAGAAAAATACCCAAGCTAGGGTGTTTATAGAGATCTTAAGAGTCTTTGCAGGGAAAGTAATCTCCATTAAATTGGGAGATTATCTAGGAGATATCTAATTCTACTAGGATTATGATTACGTTGCTTAATTCTCAATATATCCTACTTGAATTAGGGTTTCCTTACTTAGGAAGTAGTATCTTCAATAGGCCTTAAGCCTAGCCTATCGGACTAAGGCTATCAAACTGCGCTCCATGGGCTATAAGCTTTCCAGCCATTCTTGCCACCCGAAGTGCCATGTGTTATAGGCTTAGATATCATGGTCACACAACTGGGGGGTGTGTTTAAATCTAAATCAGAATGCCTACATATCTCCGGGAAGAAGAATCAAATCGCTAGTGTAGTTCTAAGAAAGAATGGTCTGATATGTGCTACATCATGAACCATCCTTGGTAAATAGGCTATGTTGGGCAGTTAAAGAGATGAGTTCTCCATGGATATGTTTGCGCGTAGACCGCATGGATGCAGAATGAGCCTATGTTAAGCATAGAGAGAATATAAGAGAGATGTATCTTCAGTTGTGATTGATTAATTCATCGATTGACATGCCCGATCAATGCCCAAGTTAGGGTATTTATAGAGATCTTCACAATCCCTGTAGGGAGAGTAATTCCAATTAATCGAGAGACTATCTAGGAGGGAATCTAGGATAATATATCCAATTTTTCTAGGATTCTGATTACGTTGCTTAATCCCCAAGATATAAATGGATGAACTTTGCATAGATGGATAATGGTGTAATATGTATATCGATAATACAATGATACGTTTTACTATTGACTTGCTATCTACTAATGTCATCGACAGTTTAACAATATTATACACACGCACGAAATATTATTTATCAAACTTTTGTTTTTTGTCAAAAGGACGAAGTTTGTATCGATAGATAATGTGGATGTATATCGATAAACACAATGATATCTTCTGCTATTGACTTGCTATTTACTAATGTTATTGACGGTTTATTGATACTATATCAACAACTTAGTCATTTAATCATGTAAATAAAAGGATAGTTTCATGTTTTATTTTATTGCCAATTCAAAATATCATGAAAAGAAATTGTGAATGGAGAAATGTAGGAGGTGATCAACAGCTGATCATGTGAATTAATTGATGAGATTCCACCAGAGAAAACTAAGATCATCTTCTTCTTCTGCAACTTTTCTATGACATGGAAGTGTCACTTTATGTTTATGCTTTTATACAAACAAATAAATGTGAAGCTAACTGCAACGAGCTGTTATAAAACCAGACTTTCATTCGTAGGAAGGTCGATTAGATTTACAAATTTGCTATGCTCAACTAAATTAACTAAAACCACGCCAATGGAAATTTCGTAACCTAGAGATCGTATATCTGATTTATTGCTGTAGGGTTTTTCTATAAGAAGCTCTCTTGACTAATGACACATGTAGTTGGAAAATACATATAAGCGAATTCAGATCAAATTTTGCAATCTTGGGCAAGTCCACATACTTGCCTAATGCAACGAGTTGGACTTTGCGTAGAGAGGATAACAATGGAAGGTTGGCCATGCTTTACTTCGCATGAATCCTAATAATGTTTTGTCTTAAAGGGGTGAATGGTGTTTGTAGAAAGCCGGTCTTGGTTTCTTCGGTAAGGCATGTGTTTCGATTGCTTCTCAACAAATGATCTTCTCCGAAGAATTATCTCTTCTTATATCAAAGAAGTATGAGATTTTTCCAATTAAAAGATTGCAGCAAAGTTAATGATATGATCCAAATGTATTTTAACCAAAGAATCCAATGCAAGCACAAAGCAGGTTGCAGAAAAAATGTTCCCATAGATCTTATTTCGGGTGGAGGTAATCGACAGATAGCACTAGCCGGGCCAGAAAAAATGTTCTATAGATCTTATCTAGTTTTAACTATCTAATCTGGAAGAAGACATTTCCTGAATTAAATGGAGGTTGCAAAAATTTCTGAAAGAATAACATATGCTTAGCAAATTGTTACCTTTTTTTTCCACCCATGAATCTTTGCACTGAACAATATTTGTGTAATTTTGATTTGCTATCTAATTCATCTGCAAGAAGGAACACAATAACGAAGAAAAGAAAAAACTTCCATATGATTTTCTTACCTCCTTTTCTCAAATTTGTGAAGAACAAGAAACCAGTTCCAAAAACTCCTCCCCAATTTGCTATATTACTTATAATCTTCCTGACACAGAGGAACTTATGGATTAGGGATTACGAACAGTGACCCTTGGAAAAGAATTCTGGAATACCAAGGATTGTAAGAGAAATTTTCAAAATCTGACTCCGAGCCCAAAAGTTGTGCTAAACAGGGTTTGTGCCATTTAACACCTCTTCTACAACCGCGTCACTTCCATCTTTGATACCAAATTATCATTCGTAGTTCCATGAACCACCTTCGAATAATCGAAGCACAAGAGAGAAGCATGCAAGTCGAATAAAAAGGAATCATGAAGAAACCATATGACTAACAGTAATCAAGACAGCAGTACTGCTTAAAGATTAGCTAGACAAGACCTGAAAGAAAGAAAGTGATGGCTGAAAGACATGCTTTAAATCAAACACAAATGAGGTTTTAAAGTATAAAAAAGAGAGAATATTTGAGGCAAAAGCAAAGGGAAAAAAATAGAACTCATTAGTGACTGGTTTGCAAACCTTTTTATGTTCAAAATTTGTAAAGGCAGTGTTTGCTTGCAATTTGAGGTTCCATATGTATCATCATCACTACCATAATATATGTGGTTGAGGTGTCACCCATCATATATATGCAGTTCATAGTTTGATTGAGAGTAAAAGATAAGCAACCAAATGGAAGTTAAACTATAAAGATTGTGTGCAATTTTCCAACTATATATGTTATGTTTAATTTTCAATCTATCATCAAAATTGCTTAAGAATTGTTAAGTTTTCTCCTAGAAATAATAAATCTATTGAAATTAAATTGGTCGTTGCAACAGCACATGCGGGTGTAGTCACATTGCTTAGAGCTCGAATCTTTACTCCTGCCATGTAGATTAGTTTAAGGTATATTGCCAGTAGGAAATAATTGCATCAAGACAACATTATTTCTTAAAATCTCTAATATACTTTATCATAAGCCTCTATTAAACTCGTGATCATCTAACCCATGAATTTGTGTTTTATATTGATCAAGTTGACATGTACTCTTATTTGTACATTTTTGACCAATCGAAAAGACATGTTTACATTATAATTAAATTCGTGAATGACTAGTATATTTTTTCATTGCAAATACAAATTCTTACTTTGGACCACTGTTTCAAAAAGCGGTTAGAGTGACCACCCATGCACTAGTCAGAGGCCGGGCGCCTGACTAAGGCCTAGGCGTTTAGAAAATCAATGAAAACTTCATAAGACAATTAGGTAGGATCGTAGGCGATTCAATGTTTTATTTTTTTTAGGTTAAGAATTTGAAAAAATTTCTTTTAAAAGAACTTTAGACTTTCTTTCTTATAAAATAACTTTGAATACATATTTTATTTTATGTATTCAATCAATTGTAATACTTATTTATATGTTTTGATTGCTATATAATAAAAACTATATTAAAAAAATCCGCATAAACTCTTTTGGTCGCTCCACTAGTGTTTTTTCGAACCTTGCTCTCGACATACTCATGTTATCAAATCTAAATTGTGTTTGGTAACCAACCAAAAAATCTACAACCATATTATTGATTTTGACTTGGAAAAGAAAATCTCAGACATTACCATTGTGATTAACCGACCACTACACCTAACCTCACCACCATACTTTCCTACCTTTTCCAAAACCGTTATTAGCACCTCGGAAAAGGGACAAAAGAGGAATTTCGGGCCAACGGAGGTAAGACCTCCCACCAATAGGAAACCGCCACGTCGGCCTCATAATAGCAACTGTCGTTGTTAAATTGCACGGGAGCGTCGCACAGGAAAAATAGCGAAACGCGACTCTCTCTCCCTTGCTGGCTCTCGCTTTCTCTCTCCTCGGGCGATCCAAAATCTGCTAGGGTTAGGGTTTTGAAAATCCCCTAATTTTGATTACTGCTTGATTTCTTTGTGTTTGGTTCAATTTTTCTGCTTTTGATCGAGGGCTTCCTTCGATCTTCGTATTCGGTTGCTGACTCTCTGATTGTAATTTTTGGTTTTTTTGTGAACAGGGACTTCGTGTCCGATGCGATTCTGAGCTCGGGAATCGGTAGGTTCAATTTCAAGAGATTTGTTTTAACAGGGTAGGGTTTCTGTGTATGTGTATATATATATATATGTGTGTGTGTGTGTGTGTGTGTGCTTGTATAGCTGACCACGTTTGGGGGTTTTTTTTTCTGTTGATTTTTAGTGTTTTTAGGGTTCTCTGCAAATTTGCAATTTTGGATGTATGCATGTGTATATGTTATGTGTGCTTGTATAGCTGACCAAGTTTGGGTTTTTGTAGATTTGAAGTGTTTTTTAGGGGTTCTCTGTAAATTTGGGATTTGGGGATTTTTGTGTTGATTACCCAGTTTTTGTTGATTCCAGGTGCTTTTGATGGGTTTTCTGCAAATTTGCAATTTGGGTGTGGATTATTTATTTGGATGAATGATTAGTTAAAGTTTGTGAGTCAAAGGTCTGGTATTAGGTAGATTGTAATTGCTAATTGGCCATAAATCTGGGGTTGAGTTTGAACTTTGGCACAAATCAGGTGCTCTATAATGATTAGATTTTATTTTTTGTAGTAATTTCAGTTGGTTGATAGGTGTTTATGTAGCTTGACTACTATACTTGTTGGCATGACAAATGTCTGTTCGTGTATTATAATAAAGATTTCGCTTCTGATTTTTATAGCTCAATTAGCGGTTTTCTAGTTTTATGTCTTATTGAATTTACAAGCATATGTTCATATGATGCAAATTCAATTAGCCTTTTGCAGGTTTAACATCTTTGGATGTTGTTAGTGATGTTCTACGGATTTTCTGGATTGCAATCTAAACGTTTTCTGTTCAAAGATGAGTTGTTGAGTGCAAATTATAAAGATAATGAAACACCCTGACTTCACATTCTTTGATATTAAGTAACATGGAATCGTATGCAGTCTTAACAACTTTTTCCTTTCAAACAAAAAATTAGTATTTTCATTGCTTATATACCAGCATTAAATTACACCACGAGCATTATTTTCGTTATAAGTGGCGTGTTTGCTGAGTTTTCATGTGTTTGTTGTTTTGGTTGCGCGTGTGTGGTGGACTTGTAAGTTTTCACTCTTAATAAGCTGTTCCCCATTAATTGTTAGTTTTCAGGTGTTCTCTTTGCAGGTAAGTTAAAAAAATGGAGCACGAGGAGACTGGATGTCAAGCTGCCCCTGAAGGTCCTATTTTGTGTGTAAACAATTGTGGGTTTTTCGGAAGCGCGGCTACTATGAATATGTGTTCCAAGTGTCACAAGGATATTATGCTGAAACAGGAGCAGGCGAAGCTTGCTGCATCATCCTTTGGAAGCATAGTCAACGGAACATCAAGCATCAGTGCAAATGAGCCTGTTGTTGCGGCTGCTACTGTGGATGTTCAACCCCATCCAGTGGAGCCAAAAACTCTCTCTTCGCAACCATCATTTTCCTTTGGTTCAGGGTCGTCTGGTGAGCCAAAGCCGGAGGGCCCAAAACGTTGCAACACTTGCAACAAGCGGGTTGGATTAACAGGGTTCAATTGTCGGTGTGGTCACCTCTTTTGTGCAGTACATCGTTATTCAGACAAACATGACTGCCCTTATGATTATCGCACTGCTGGACGCGATGCTATTGCGAAAGCCAACCCTGTCGTAAAAGCTGAGAAGCTCGATAAAATCTAAGCCTGATGCGGTGAAGTTTCATTTTCGAAATTGATGCTTGTTTTCATCCACGAGATGGCTTCAGAGTTTGCAGCGGTATCTTAGCACTTGCCGTTTAATAATGTTAATACCTACGGGGGTGCCAAGGCGATCTAGGCATCTCTGCACTCTGAAGAACTCTCTATTTGTTGTGATTGGGAGAACTTTATGTGTTGCCTCGTGTCTTTTAAGTTGTACTCTGCCGGTTTGGTGGACATGGTTGGGGTTAATCTTCGTAATGTGTCCACGCGCTGTTTATATCGCATTTCTTTCTTCTAGTACATGTCACTGGATCTTGTATTGTAAAGTATTGATGTGGTTTCCATGCATAAATCTATTTACCCTCCCTTTCTGGTCCATCGTATTTTCATGTATGTTCCTAAATATTTAGGTTTCCATATGGTTTTATCAGTTTCAGAACTTAAAATGTAACCGTTTTCACAGAGAAAAAAGGGCCGAAAAAGGGAGTTAGTAACTGCAATGGAGTTTTAGCTGTTTTAGCACTCGAGGTTTTGTGTTCAAATGCTCCCTCAAACAGGGCAATTAGAAACTTTTGTATTGTGCACAAGGATATAGATAGAACTGGGCAAGTCATCCAACACAAGGGAGCACAATAGATGAACTACGTATAATGCAAAACTGATGCATTCTGTATCAAAATTTCGACAGACGAGAGATTCAGGGGTTAAAAAATAGTTCACGGTTCTGCACTCTTTCCAGCTTCTATTATTTTCTACTTTGAGAGGGTTCACAAGCCCTATGATCTAACACTATAAAAGTCCAGTCCGGGTTAGATAGAAATCCCTTTAGATTCAGCTTCAAGATACTTGCATATCCTCTCCATGACCTCTCTGCCCTTGGCACTGTTCTGCACAAACTTCTCAGCACATCGTTGTTCAACCTTTTCCGCCATCGATGCCAATGCTGATAATGGCTTGATTCGAATGCTAGTCTCCTGTCGGCATAATGTCCAGCCATTTGGGTTCTCTGGGTGGGGATCATACCTGATTTTTTCCTCCACCTCTATGAACTTTTCAAGGCTAATATTATTGGTGGTGAGTTGCATTGATCGTGCTTGCACATCCACAACTGTTGACTCGACGCAGTGGCAGACATCCTGGCGAACAATTTTGCGGATAAACCATGGTCCTGGCGCATGGACAGTGATAGCACGTGTGGTGTAAAGCTTTCCTGTGCTGGTATCAAGCTTGTGGTTCAGAGTGTCAACTTCAAGGATATGTGACAGTGTGCGTTTGTTTTCAGCATCAGCAAATTTTTTCCATGATGCAGAAGTCACCCGGTCCCATGGGTGCTTGTATGTGTACTCTTGCTTGTATGCCTTCACCATCTCTTTTGTCACTTAGTGTCCTGATAAAAGAGCATTATATTAGTTCCCAGAAAAAAAGAGTTAGATCGTAAAATATGGTTCAACTTCTCAAACATAGTGATACATAGTAGAAAATTTCAGCTAGTGAAATATCATAAATGAAATGAGAGAGTGTAAGCTAAGAATTTAGGTTATCATAGCCAATGCACCTGACTGCAATCAATTTGACTATGCACAATTTCGACTCAATGACAGTTGGGGCAGTGAATGAAGCTCGTATATAGGAGTATTCAGACCACAACAAAAAATAAATAAATACCAATCATGCAATTGGGAAACACCAATCAAAAGTATGCTGGGACTACATGATGACAACGCTCTTAATTTGGGAGTTTCTTCAAAATTTACACCGAATTAATTTGTATTATGTGGTCGTTTCTAAACCCACTAGAAAAACAGCTACCAGAGAAAGTAACTACAATAACCTATTTTTGTTTGATGTTCAATCTTACGGTGACAGAAGAACAATACTCTGACACCAGAAACTTCTCAAAATATCAAATGCTAGATCAGAGATGGACTATAAAGTTAAAATTCGTATGGATTACTGGGTAGAACTATAAATACATGGATAGATGATGTCCATTGCCGTTAAATGACTAACCAACGAAAAACAACAATAAGACTTTCTGGATTGCTCCTCATCTAGACTTTTCACTAGTTAAAGGCTCCTATTTTAGGTTAATAAATCCTATTAGAATTGTTACGGCAGACACTTCGCTTACATTATGCATTCCTTTACACTCTTAATGGTAAATGATTGTAAAGCTTTTACAAATATGTGATACTTGCTCTACGCCATTATTAGACTACCATCTTCCTTGATGCACATCTCTAGAGCTAAAAGCAAATGCAGAAATACTACATAGATATGCACTAAGGACGAATGCCAACTAACGATGCAAAAGTTGGTGCTACAATTCTTCTAAAAAAAAACCTATAAGAATTAAAGGATCTGAAAAGAGCAAAACAAACTTTTGATTCTGCGAAGAATGCAAGACACAAAAAACTGAGGGTTGTACCAGAATTTCAAGACCACGATGAACATTACAAACTTGCCTACATATGGGCATCATAAGCAAATATACTACCAAGCTGAAAACTAAAAGAATCAGGTAGTTATAGCTGGAGAAAAAGCAGCACCACCGGCTTTAGTTCACTACAAACAAATTAATATTCTTTGCACCAGCGTCCTACTTTTAACAGAACACCACGCTGAAACAATCATCGTCAAAGCAAGGTGAACATCCCACAAAATCCAATACTATCTAACCCACAAATCAAGTTTTTCCCTAGGCAAAACCATGGATCCTAATCTTAAACTCCTACGAAGAAAAGGGCAGAATTCAAAACCCAAAACCTAGTCTCAGAAAAGCTTATTAATTTCTCAAGCAACAACCTTTTGCTCCAAAGCAATTCCTAAAAACTTACCCTAATCTCAAAATTCCTCAACACTTTTTTGTAATATTAAACACAAATTAAGTCTCATGAAAAAAATATAAAGCCATCCTATTTTTTCACCACATAAACAAAAAAAATTATTCAAATTCAGATAAAATTCACAAAGGGTCCTTCAGAATCAGAAATCTATGAACTTTTTTCACCGCAGTAACAGCTAAAAAAAAAAAAAAAACACACAACAAATCAAGAACAGGACCAACTTATACACGCATATAAAAAATTAATCAATTTGTTTCTCCTAAATCAGTACTTCCAATTTCAGTTCGAATTCACAGGAAAAAAATACATAAATCTAGCAAAAACAGACCCAGATGAAAAAAGAAATAAAGGATGAATTAGAAGCTTTCAGCAGAGAGCTTACCTCAACGGTGAAATTAATGAAAGCCTATACACAATATTAAATATCTATTTATCAAATTTCGACGAAGCGATTGATGGATCGCTTTTTTCTTGTGCCTGTACGAATTGCCCTCCTCTTTAAATTAATGGTTCTTCCATTTCTTGGGGAAGCGGTTAATGGATTTCTAGCATCGTAGTATTTCGCACTCCCCGCTTTAAATTTGTGGTTTTTCTATTTATTTATTTTTATCAAGAAATTGAGAGGATTTTTTTTTTTTTTTCTTTTGGAGAAAATAAAAGAATTGAAAAGAAAATTTTGAGGCCCGAAAATGAAGGGCTTGTCCATTTGGACCTTTAAATGTTTGCCTGAGGCCCAATTACTTGTGTAGAAGGACCCAAAAGCCCTCTGGACATTGTTACTAAAAAGGAGCTCGACTCAAAAGTGTTTTTATTAAGAAGCACATCGAAATTTTTAATAATAATAGTACTTCAAGTGGACTAGTTATAGGTTTATCTTCTTCTTTATTTTAGAATTAAGTATAAGTATTAGTTCCTATTTTTCCTGCTTCTAATTCGTGTCTTAATTTTTTCTACCTTATCACAACTTAACCAATTTATGTTGTAGGTACTATGTAAATCGGCATATACAGTAGTATGAATTATAAAACTAGACTAAATCTAACAACAACTAAAATTTCAATCGAAAATAAAAAATCCTCCACATGTAAGTGCTGTAGGGAAGAACCTTTATTCATGCTTCATTTACTCATGTTTTAGTTGCATAAGTGGCGTCTTCTTTCTGTATGCCAGTCCTTTCTAGGACTATATATATTATAATTTGTCTTGGTTGGGCTTGTTTTATGAATGTTATCTACAATTTGACAAAAAAAAAAAAAAATCTCAAATTTGTTGACATGCATCAAGTATTAACCCTTTTTTATTTCATGTCTCTCTCCCCTCCCTTTCTGCCTCCCTCTCCACCTGCATAACGTAAAGATAAAAAGAAAACGAAACGACTCAGGCGGGTCTAATATCGCCTTGGAAAACTCAGCTCCTTTCCAACATTCATCTTCTTCCTCTCTCCTTCATCATCTATACTATGTGCAAATCGTTGTCATCCGTCTTCATCTTGTACCTCTGTGGGCATCAGGGTCTGCTATCGCCAAAGCCTTTTGAGGGTTAGTTTTCTCTCTTACTCTAAATCTCTAATTTCTATACACAAAGGTGTATGTATGTTGGATTTGAATTTGATATGGTATTTTTTTATTTTTTTTTTAATTCTTGTGATGATATAAGGTCTCCACACCAACAATTGCTTAAGAATTGGAATAAAGTGCAATTGAGTGAGATTTTATCCTGAAATCAGTCTGCAATATAATTATCTCAAACAATTGTGGTAATCTATTCTATTGGTTTTGTCTTTCTAGAAATTTAGTAATATTATTGAGATTGTACTCTGAAACCAATTCGCAATAGGGGAGTAGCAAGTGCGCTTGTAAGCCCGTACAATGTTCTTAACTAATTCTCCCGCGTGATTAATCTTTGAGCCTAGTACATGGACATATGAGGCCATTAGCTTCACATGTAAGAAAATCCACTTTGATACTATTGAAAAGGTTGAAGTTCCACCTAAAACAAATGGTCATTAGTAGCCGAACTTCTTATAAGCTCATGCAACGTCTCTTTATTCCTTGACGTTAGACTGATTTTTACAGCATATTCTCACGCTACACCATGCAATAATTCGGTGGAGAAGGTTAAGATATACGTATATACAATACTTGCATTTGAAATAAGGTGGAGTAAACTCAAATGGAAATTATAATGGCCTGCCGGTAACACAAGGAGAATTACATCAGCAGCTGCGCAATAGGTCTTACGCACACAAAATTTAGGGTTTCAACTTGCACCCATATCTACTGATCCTACCAAGTTTTACCACAACGGGATTAATTTATGGTCAGACTTCAATGTAAAGATCGACAAAAAAACAACAGCAAAATACTAGAACAAAATAAAAGGTCCTCCAGCTCCTTGAGTTTGCATTGAAAATCAGCTCCTGTTACTTCAAAATCACCCAAAATATAGACCCAAAAAAGGAATAGTAAACTGTCTCTAACCATCCTCAAGTCCTCCCGATCACAAAATTACTAATCTCCCCATACAAAAT